GGGCGTCTGCCGGGGAGGCGAGCGATCCGATCGTCTTCCACGTCGGTATCTCGGCGGTGTATTCTCTGAAGGTGAAATACCCCTGCGTTAGAGTCAGTCTGTCCGGCGCGGGGATCCTTTCTCGTCGCTCGCTCAGGTTCTCAAGCGCGAGACCCAACGCGTTCGCGAATTCCGAGATTGGATCTCGCACGCCTTTCAGTATGGCGACTAGGTTCGCGGCAGCAGCGGAGGGGAAGTGCCGCGATACGATATCGATACAGAAACCCAAGAGCCCCGAAGTCGCGGAGGCTACGAACAAATCGTCTTTTCGGTAGTGTTTGCTGAGGTATCCCACCGCGTCGATCATCGCGGTCCCCTGGTAGCATATCAACACGTTTTTCGCGTCTAGCCCGTGCGCGGGCAGGCAGCGCCGAGCGAGCGCCTCGCGGAGTAGCAGAAAGATCTGAGCGATGAGAATTTTGCGGGCGAGTGCGGAGCTCGAGCCGGAGTCCACTCCGAGGCCGGGGTGCAATCCGGTAGAGTCAGCGCGTACTGAAACACGTTCACGTTGCCGCTCGCCGAGCACCTGCACATGTCCCGAGCGGGCCCCGCGAAGACGGTGGGGTGTTTCTCGGTCATGACCTGCGACAGCTCGATCACGTTTTTGCGAAACATAACCGATTCCCCCTCGGTTCCTCGCGCGAGGATCGCGATCCCCGTTTCGATCTCGGACTCTGTCGTTCGTTTTCGTATTTTGACGACGACTCGAGTCCCTCCTGTCCCTCTGGTCTCTTCGTTCGCGGAGAACTCGTTGAGGTGAACCGTTCCTCTGTTTTCTACGAGATTATGAGTTTTCCGGAGCCGTTTCCCCCGGAGGCGGCTCGATTCGTCCACCGCGAGAGGCTCGACCGAACGACTCCTGTCCTCCTCTTCGACGCGCAGGATCTTCGATCGTCCGTCGTCGGACCCCTGGGGCGAGGTGGTCTTGCGTTTGGCGTCTAAGCGTCTTCGCGGTCGCGCCTGTGCAGCTTTTTTCGAATACCACTCGTACGGTTGAATGGGACCCGGGGCCAATCTGCAAACGTCAAACCCGTAGAACGTTTTTATCAAATGATTATGTACGATCCTGGCGTGCGACGACAACTCCTCGGGCGCGCAATCGTCGCACACCGCGACGTCGGTAGCCCTGTACTCTCCCACGCTCACAGACGGAGGGATCGTAGCGCGCGGAATGCGAGTGAGGGGGCTGACGTCCTCGCGCAACGCGCGATATCTGTCCAGCGAGAGAAGATCCTCGGGCGCGTATCTCTCTTGAGGAAACAAGGTGATGCACAGCGTTCCGAGCTCCACGAATTCTTGATCTCGCACGGGGCGCTCGGTCGCCAGCGCCATTTTCGAAAGTTTTTCGAGTACGTTCGAGGCGGAGGGTCTCGAGCGGTACGTTCGACGCAACTCGTCGGCCTCGATCTCTTCGAAGTAACGCGTGGATTGGGGCGCGGGCTCGCCGTTTCGAGGTTCGTACACGCCGAGCAGCGCCGAAAGGTTTCTCGCGTAGATCTTCGCGCAGAAATCCCACGGGCGATCCTCGTCCGTCGTGGGCGTCTGGTAGCGTATCAGCGGCGTCCCCCCGTACAGTTCCCACATCACGCAATACCAGCTGAACACGTCCGAAGCGGTATCCGATTCGTGACACCACATCATCTCGGGCGCTCTGTTGGCTCGCGTGCCTCGGAGCTGATCCGGCGTGGAGAAATTGCACGCCGTGCCGAAATCGCTGATCTTGAAACTCGCCGGTATCGGGTT